TTGTGTCGCACACCAAGCCTCTCATCTACGCGTTTATGCAACGTTCCGAAAAAGCATCACCTCGGCAACAGAGACAACTTTCGTTCATCTTACAGTTCACTACGCGTATCGAATACCTATCGGGCAAAGATAATATTGTGGCGAATTCTCTTTCCCGCATCGAAGCCATTCGTTTACCTGCCGAGATCGAACTTAATGAGCTTGCAACAAGAACAAGACGAGGAGCTACGGTCCATTCGCGAATCTCCTGAATTTCCGCTTTCTATGAAGCGAATTCAATGGGGGCCGACGCATACTACACTTTACTGCGAAATGACCGGCGAGGCAATCCGTTCCTATATACCGGCATCTTTACGAGATCGCGTTTTTCACTTGTTCCATGACGCGGCTCATCCGGGTCCTAAAGTCACTGGGTCATCGGGTAATCCGTCAACGGTATGTGTGGCCTAACATGCATCGTGATATTGCAAAGTGGTGTAAGAATTGTCTTGACTGTCAGCAGTCAAAAATAATCCGACACGTTCAATTACATCCTGAAAAATTTGTCGCATCCGACGGGCGTTTCGAGCACGTTCACATGGATCTAATAGGTCCCTTGCCTGAGTCGGATGGGTACAGATATTGCGTGACGATGATTGATAGATTTTCGCGTTGGCCAGTAGCAATACCTCTGAAAGACATTGAAGCCATTACAGTGGCACATGCGTTTTACGACAACTGGGTAGCAAATTTTGGAGCATCCAAAACGGTAACTGATCAAGATAGCCAGTTTCGAAGCGCAACTTTTTACTGCACTTGTTCAGCTGATCGGTTGTCAACGAATTCGTATCACGGCGTATCACCCCGCCTCGAACGGTATGATCGAGCAGTGGCATAGAAGCTTAAAATCTGCGATTATGTGTCATGCTAATGAAGGTTGGTCACGAGTACTTTCGACTGTATTATTAGGTCTGCGTACTCATGTCCGCCTTGACACCGGCGCATCGCCTGCGGAATTTGTTTATGGAACGACGCTGCGCGTCCCCGGAGAATTTATACTGCCGGACGACTTCACTCCTAATCCGCAAATTGAGGAGTTCCGCGAGCATATGCGCAAAGTTAAGCCAATCTCGATAGAGCATAAGCACAAGAAACGCGCATTCGTATTTAAAGATTTATATTCATATTCCCATATTTTTCTACGGGTGGGCGGTACCAAGAGAGCGTTAGAGCGTCCCTACACCGGCCCTCGCAAGGTTATAAATCGTGTTTCAGATCAAGTATTCGACATTGATGTTTAACAGGCACAGGGATACACAGCGCAGTGTATCGGTCGAAAATTTAAAACCAGCGTATAGCATACGCGATGACTTATGTAGTACAACCCCAGAAGCAGAGCAATCAACCAAGTCGTTCAGCAATGAGCAACCAGCTTTAAAAACGTATGCGCGTCCAAAGAAAAAAGTCACCTTCGCCATATAATTACAATAAATCCTCCCAACGATAAAATGTAATTAGTTTAAGACAGACACCAAAGACATGCAATGATATGTTTTATATGATACATTTTATATGTTTTATATGGTAGACTCAAGTGTCGGCATCATAAATATACCTGTCACTACAGCAATATTTTATTAACCTAATAATAAGCATAGGGTTTAGATTCGTTGTCACTTGGAAGGGAATATGTAGGGAACTACGTTCTCAATATCTCATTAGTGCAGCGAGTGTAGAAAACCTAGAGATTTTGTAGGTTGCGAGTTGCCTACAAACAGCGTCAGAGAAAAAGATAAGATTAGATAGATTATGGCCTCATCCTGTACGGTCATATTCATTTGAACTCGAGTAATAAAGATTTATAGTTACCAGTTACAAGAAAGTATCGATCATTACCTCTTATATCACATCACACGACAAGCGTGGGCTTGTCTTGAGAATTTGACTCATCAATCGAGTCACTTATTCCCACAACATGACACTGCGAGTGTCCTCTGACAAGTTTTCTAAGAACTTATTAACTTGCCCTCGTACTTCATTATCCGCGATTGATGGAATAGACAGGGCTTCTTGTACAAATGTCATCCATACGATTCGAAGCAAAACATAAGGAATTAAAACAAATTGCAAAAACAGTTTCAAGAAGAAACCCTGCGTTTACATTAACTTTGAAACATCAGTTGCAATTAAATTATCGATTTATTTTAAATAAAGGATTTAAAAAATGTGTAGAATGAGGTGCAATATTATATGAAAGCTTGACAGACATTGAGTTCTATATTGATTTTAGAAGTATTTTACCCTCTGTTTCTTTTGATAATTATAAATGCATTTCTTGGATTAAAATAAACGGAACATTTTTTAAACCAGACATGTTCTTTTCGTTAATAACAGTGATTGTAAGTTTGCTAAAATAAAATATATGTTTAAAAGCGATTTAAATGAAATACTGTTTATATATAAGCAACTAAAAGTAGTACACAACTGTGCGAGAGCGCACCGCGCGGAAAGATTCGAGTGAAAGAACGGCACAAGGTTGATGTGATGCACGACAGTAAAGAGAACTCCGTTTCTTTTAATTTAACAAAAGAATTTTCTTTAATATAATCAGTTACAGAGTCAAAAAATATAATTAATTAAATATTAGATTAACAAAATATCAAATGTAGTCACCCTTTCCAAAATTGTATTTGGAATTGTGATGATGGAAAATCTTGGCGATTTTCTCGGAAAGATTCGTTTTATCGCGATTTCACTAAGCGGTTAGCACGGCGATTTTACGAAGCGGTATAGTAGCGAGACTATGATTCTAAGAACTCGAAGAACTTTTAGAAGTAACAACTCTAAGAAGTCTAAGAACTCTAAGCGGTATAAATGGTATAAGCGGTGTAGACTATCTAAGCAATCTGCCCAATCTGCCCTGAGGACCGGCGAGATCGAAGCATTTATTTCTTTCGGTCCGAGCTTTCTTCTTGGGAAAATCCAATTAAATTTTGCCACAATCGTAATTATCACGTGGCATTGGTTGTACAAAATTGATTGGCGCTTTCGATTCTTTTCTAGCGACGTTCAACATAACAGTCATGCGCGACAGAAAATCCGTACGCGGGATTGGTGACAGCGCGTGACGTATTCGTCGGAGCGCGGCGCTCGCGTGCGCGAATTGAATTGTTCTAGAACTTTCGATGGTCCGTTGCCGGTGCCTGTTTGCGTGTACCGAATTGTTTTGAAAAGACTAAAGAACAATGAATCTCTGACTTTGATGAGGCTTAAAGTCAGGCTCGAGATGAAATCACGAGCTCGCCTTGTGCGTGCGTTCAATAACAATTACTGTCGGTCGACCGAAGGAATTCTTACCCTTTTTTTTTCGAATTACCGATCTCAAACAACAACTAAATACTCATTTTTATGCATATGAAATAATAGAATTGCAGTCTTTTTTATATTTTATCTTTTTTTATCTTTTTTATATTCAGGGTTTTATATTTCAGTCAAAACATTATATGAGCCCTGTAATATACATCTTTCCGTTGATTGTAAAACAAACTACATTCCAGTTGTACCTTAAGCTTAACAATTATATATTTTATGTTTAAAACTTTATTCTAAATTTGTATTTATAATTTAAGTATTATGTAACATATGAGATATGATAAGTGCCTCGTTATTTCTTTTATTTTGAACAAATACTTCGTAATAATAATCTAAAAGTGTTTCATCCTGTTGATTAAAAACTAGTTTTAGATAAGAATTATAAAATTAAAAGCTGACATTAAAATTCTACATTGTGTTAAGGGGGGAAACCACAGTAGAGCACGAAAAAGTAAGTATATTTTCGGGAATTTTTTT